CCCCTGTCTCCACCTCGTGTCTCCCCTGTCCCCTCCTCATGTCTCCACTGTCCCCTCCTCGCGTCTCCCCTGTCTCCTCCTCGTGTCTCCCCTGTCTCTGTCTCCCCTGTCTCCCCTGTCTCCCCTGTCTCCACCTCGTGTCTCCCCTGTCTCCACCTCGTGTCTCCCCTGTCTCCTCCTTGTTTCTCCCCTGTCTCCACCTCGTGTCTCCCCTGTCTCCACCTTGTGTCTCCCTTGTCTCCACCTCGTGTCTCCCCTGTCTCCACCTCGTGTCTCCCCTGTCTCCACCTCGTGTCTCCCCTGTCTCCACCTCGTGTCTCCCCTGTCCCCTCCTCGTGTCTCCCCTGTCCCCTCCTCGCGTCTCCCCTGTCTCCTCCTCGTGTCTCCCCTGTCTCCACCTCGTGTCTCCCCTGTCTCCACCTCGTGTCTCCCCTGTCTCCTCCTTGTGTCTCCCCTGTCTCCACCTCGTGTCTCCCCTGTCTCCAACTTGTGTCTCCCCTGTCTCCACCTCGTGTCTCCCCTGTCTCCACCTCGTGTCTCCCCTGTCTCCACCTCGTGTCTCCCCTGTCTCCACCTCGTGTCTCCCCTGTCTCCACCTCGTGTCTCCCCTGTCCCCTCCTCGTGTCTCCCCGTCCCCTCCTCGCGTCTCCCCTGTCTCCTCCTCGTGTCTCCCCTGTCTCCACCTCGTGTCTCCCCTGTCCCCTCCTCGTGTCTCCCCTGTCTCCACCTCGTGTCTCCCCTGTCCCCACCTCGTGTCTCCCCTGTCTCCACCTCGTGTCTCCCCTGTCTCCACCTTGTGTTTCCCCTGTCTCCACCTCGTGTCTCCTCTGTCTCCACCTCGTGTCTCCCCTGTCTCCACCTCGTGTCTCCCCTGTCCCCTCCTCGTGTCTTCCCTGTCTCCACCTCGTGTCTCCCCTGTCTCCTCCTTGTGTCTCCCCTGTCCCCTCCTCGTGTCTCCCCTGTCTCTTCGTGTCTCCCCTGTCTCCACCTCATGTCTCCCCTGTCTCCTCCTTGTGTCTCCCCTGTCTCCTCCTTGTGTCTCCCCTGTCTCCTCCTTGTGTCTCCCCTGTCTCCTCCTCGTGTCTCCCCTGTCTCCACCTCGTGTCTCCCCTGTCTCCTCCTTGTGTCTCCCCTGTCTCCACCTCGTGTCTCCCCTGTCTCCACCTCGTGTCTCCCCTGTCTCCACCTCGTGTCTCCCCTGTCTCCACCTCGTGTCTCCCCTGTCTCCACCTCGTGTCTCCCCTGTCCCCTCCTCGTGTCTTCCCTGTCTCCACTTCGTATCTCCCTTGTCTCCACCTCGTGTCTCCCCTGTCTCCACCTCGTGTCTCCCCTGTCTCCTCCTTGTGTCTCCCCTGTCTCCTCCTCGTGTCTCCCCTGTCTCCTCCTCGTGTCTCCCCTGTCTCCACCTCGTGTCTCCCCTGTCTCCACCTCGTGTCTCCCCTGTCTCCTCCTTGTGTCTCCCCTGTCTCCTCCTCGTGTCTCCCCTGTCTCCACCTCGTGTCTCCGCTGTCTCCACCTCGTGTCTCCCCTGTCTCCACCTCGTGTCTCCCCTGTCTCCTCCTTGTGTCTCACCTGTCTCCACCTCGTGTCTCCCCTGTCTCCACCTCGTGTCTCCCCTGTCCCCTCCTCGTGTCTCCCCTGGTTCCACCTCGTGTCTCCCCTGTCTCCACCTCGTGTCTCACCTGTCTCCACCTCGTGTCTCCCCTGTCTCCTCGTGTCTCCTCGTGTCTCCCCGTCCCCTTCCAGTGTCTCTCCTGTCTCCACCTCGTGTCTCCCCTGTATCCACCTCGTGTCTCCCCTGTCTCCACCTCGTGTCTCCCCTGTCTCCACCTCGTGTCTCCCCTGTCTCCACCTCGTGTCTCCCCTGTCTCCACCTCGTGTCTCCCCTGTCTCCTCCTTGTGTCTACCCTGTCTCCACCTCGTGTCTCCCCTGTCTCCACCTCGTGTCTCCCCTGTCTCCACCTCGTGTCTCCCCTGTCTTCACCTTGTGTCTCCCCTGTCTCCACCTCGTGTCTCCTCTGTCTCCACCTCGTGTCTCCCCTGTCTCCACCTCGTGTCTCCCCTGTCCCCTCCTCGTGTCTTCCCTGTCTCCACCTCGTGTCTCCCCTGTCTCCTCCTTGTGTCTCCCCTGTCCCCTCCTCGTGTCTCCCCTGTCTCTTCGTGTCTCCCCTGTCTCCACCTCATGTCTCCCCTGTCTCCTCCTTGTGTCTCCCCTGTCTCCTCCTTGTGTCTCTCCTGTCTCCTCCTCGTGTCTCCCCTGTCTCCACCTCGTGTCTCCCCTGTCTCCACCTCGTGTCTCCCCTGTCCCCTCCTCGTGTCTCCCCTGTCTCCACCTCGTGTCTCCCCTGTCTCCACCTCGTGTCTCCCCTGTCTCCACCTCGTGTCTCCCCTGTCTCCACCTCGTGTCTCCCCTGTCTCCACCTCGTGTCTCCCCTGTCTCCTCCTTGTGTCTCCCCTGTCTCCACCTCGTGTCTCCCCTGTCCCCTCCTCGTGTCTCCCCTGTCTCCACCTCGTGTCTCCCCTGTCTCCACCTCGTGTCTCACCTGTCTCCACTTCGTGTCTCCCCTGTCTCCTCGTGTCTCCCCGTCCTCTTCCAGTGTCTCCCCTTTCTCCACCTCGTGTCTCCCCTGTCTCCACCTCGTGTCTCCCCTGTCTCCACCTCGTGTCTCCCCTGTCTCCACCTCGTGTCTCCCCTGTCTCCTCCTTGTTTCTCCCCTGTCTCCACCTCGTGTCTCCCCTGTCTCCACCTTGTGTCTCCCCTGTCTCCACGTCGTGTCTCCCCTGTCTCCACCTCGTGTCTCCCCTGTCTCCACCTCGTGTCCTCCCCTGTCTCCACCTCGTGTCTCCCCTGTCTCCACCTCGTGTCTCCCCTGTCCCCTCCTCGCGTCTCCCCTGTCCCCTCCTCGCGTCTCCCCTGTCTCCACCTCGTGTCTCCCCTGTCTCCTCCTTGTGTCTCCCCTGTCTCCACCTCGTGTCTCCCCTGTCTCCACCTCGTGTCTCCCCTGTCTCCACCTCGTGTCTCCCCTGTCTCCACCTCGTGTCTCCCCTGTCTCCACCTCGTGTCTCCCCTGTCTCCACCTCGTGTCTCCCCTGTCCCCTCCTCGTGTCTCCCCTGTCCCCTCCTCGCGTCTCCCCTGTCTCCTCCTCGTGTCTCCCCTGTCTCCACCTCGTGTCTCCCCTGTCCCCTCCTCGTGTCTCCCCTGTCTCCACCTCGTGTCTCCCCTGTCCCCTCCTCGTGTCTCCCCTGTCCCCTCCTCGCGTCTCCACTGTCTCCACCTCGTGTCTCCCCTGTCTCCACCTCGTGTCTCCCCTGTCTCCACCTCGTGTCTCCCCTGTCTCCACCTCGTGTCTCCCCTGTCCCCTCCTCGTGTCTTCCCTGTCTCCACCTCGTGTCTCCCCTGTCTCCTCCTTGTGTCTCCCCTGTCCCCTCCTCGTGTCTCCCCTGTCTCTTCGTGTCTCCCCTGTCTCCACCTCATGTCTCCCCTGTCTCCTCCTTGTGTCTCCCCTGTCTCCTCCTTGTGTCTCCCCTGTCTCCTCCTCGTGTCTCCCCTGTCTCCACCTCGTGTCTCCCCTGTCTCCACCTCGTGTCTCCCCTGTCCCCTCCTCGTGTCTCCCCTGTCTCCACCTCGTGTCTCCCCTGTCTCCACCTCGTGTCTCCCCTGTCTCCACCTCGTGTCTCCCCTGTCTCCACCTCGTGTCTCCCCTGTCTCCACCTCGTGTCTCCCCTGTCTCCTCCTTGTGTCTCCCCTGTCTCCACCTCGTGTCTCCCCTGTCCCCTCCTCGTGTCTCCCCTGTCTCCACCTCGTGTCTCCCCTGTCTCCACCTCGTGTCTCACCTGTCTCCACTTCGTGTCTCCCCTGTCTCCTCGTGTCTCCCCGTCCTCTTCCAGTGTCTCCCCTTTCTCCACCTCGTGTCTCCCCTGTCTCCACCTCGTGTCTCCCCTGTCTCCACCTCGTGTCTCCCCTGTCTCCACCTCGTGTCTCCCCTGTCTCCTCCTTGTTTCTCCCCTGTCTCCACCTCGTGTCTCCCCTGTCTCCACCTTGTGTCTCCCCTGTCTCCACGTCGTGTCTCCCCTGTCTCCACCTCGTGTCTCCCCTGTCTCCACCTCGTGTCTCCCCTGTCTCCACCTCGTGTCTCCCCTGTCTCCACCTCGTGTCTCCCCTGTCCCCTCCTCGCGTCTCCCCTGTCCCCTCCTCGCGTCTCCCCTGTCTCCACCTCGTGTCTCCCCTGTCTCCTCCTTGTGTCTCCCCTGTCTCCACCTCGTGTCTCCCCTGTCTCCACCTCGTGTCTCCCCTGTCTCCACCTCGTGTCTCCCCTGTCTCCACCTCGTGTCTCCCCTGTCTCCACCTCGTGTCTCCCCTGTCTCCACCTCGTGTCTCCCCTGTCCCCTCCTCGTGTCTCCCCTGTCCCCTCCTCGCGTCTCCCCTGTCTCCTCCTCGTGTCTCCCCTGTCTCCACCTCGTGTCTCCCCTGTCTCCTCCTCGTGTCTCCCCTGTCTCCTCCTCGTGTCTCCCCTGTCCCCTCCTCGTGTCTCCCCTGTCCCCTCCTCGCGTCTCCACTGTCTCCACCTCGTGTCTCCCCTGTCTCCACCTCGTGTCTCCCCTGTCTCCACCTCGTGTCTCCCCTGTCCCCTCCTCGCGTCTCCCCTGTCTCCTCCTCGTGTCTCCCCTGTCTCCACCTTGTGTCTCCCCTGTCTCCTCCTCGTGTCTCCCCTGTCTCCTCCTTGTGTCTCCCTTGTCTCCACCTCGTGTCTCCCCTGTCTCCTCGTGTCTCCCCTGTCTCCTCCTCGTGTCTCCCCTGTCTCCTCCTTGTGTCTTCCCTGTCTCCACCTCGTCTCTCCCCTGTCTCCTCGTGTCTCCCCGTCCCCTTCCAGTGTCTCCCCTGTCTCATCTCCTTGTCTCCCCACCACGTCTGCCTGCGTCTCCTAGTGTCTCTCCACGTCGCCCTCCTCTCGATGTTTCCTCCTCGCCTCGTTATTCCCCTCCTCCTCGTCACCCGCAGGCGCTGGAGTTCGTGCGCTCGTCCCTACAGCGCGTGGAGGAGACGGAGTTCGTGTGCCCTGATGGCTCCTACGCCGTGCAGCAGAAGCGGCCGCTGCCCATCGCCGGCGTCATCGGGGGCTCTGACAGCAGCGTCTCCATACAGGTGCGGGGCGCGGTGGGCGGACAGGTGTGAGTGGGCACGCTGGCGCGACTTCATTTAGCACATGCTCGCACACTTACACACATGCACACACTTACACACATGCACACACGTGCACACATGTGCACACGCGCACACACGCGCACACACGCGCGTACATTTACACACGTGCACGCACGCACACACGTGCACACACATGCGCATCCGCATGCGCACGCACAAAAGCCTCAACAGGCTGTTGGGGCAAGTGCTGTTAGCGAGCACCTATGAAGGTCATCACGGCACACGAGGGGGTGGGTGGCCAGAACCACGCCCGGCCGCCTTTGTCTCCGCAGTGGTGATGTTTACTACACACCGCACCAGTTACTTATTTAAGGCTGAGCCAACACACGCACACTCACTTTCACACACACACACTCACTTTCACAAATACACTTCTTTAACACACACACATGTGCGCGAGGGTGCACACACACGCACACTAAGGGGACATCCATTGAGTCGGTGCACAAAACTTGACCCCTCCCTGTACGCACGCGAACTCTTTACCCCCCACCCCCACCTGCGTACGTACGCCTGACGCACCCCCCCCCCCGAATCTTATAGAACGGCCGATAATTAATCCACGCAGAAACGGATTAATAATATGAACGTGTTGAAGCAAACAGATAGTCCACCACCGGACTATCGAACTCGTTGTTTGAAGGCCAATGTCGACAAATTATTATCAAGGCTTCACTCCCCCCCCCCCCCGTTTTCTATGCTACGTCGTCAGTAGCGGTACGCATTTGAATTACCCCCCGCCTCCCCCCTCCATGTGTCCGTGCTAAATGGATGGCCCCTAACTCCCCGCTCGAGGTTGACTCACCACATCTCACGGAGGATCGCTCCGCTAAACCAAATCGTCCAGGGGTTCAGTGCCTTAAACGTTCACCTGTAGAGGCAGTGTAAAAGTATGTATGTATATTTCACGTAAACTGGGTCGTAAGTGCACGTGTTAGTAAGCCGGGTGTTTTTGTGCGTTCACTTAACCGCTGCGTGACTGCTCCCCCAGACAAAGACAAAGATCCCCCGTGTAGCCTTAACAGACTGTTGGGGCAAGCACTGTTAGCGATCGCTTATGAAGGCCAGCACGGCACACGAGGAGGTGGGTGGCCAACACCACGCCTGGCCGCCTTTGTCTCCCCAGTGACAAAATTTACACACCGCACCAGGTACTCATTTGAGGCTGAGTCGACCTACGGGAGGCCCAGGACCGGTTCAGATAATCTTCACCGGTGTTGGCCGTGATTAGGGATCAAATTCGGGGCCCAGTGTTGGTAGCGCAGTGTAGCGCTAACCGCTACACCACCGCTCCCCCAGACACGCAGCCACATACACACACGCGTGCGTGTCTCGGTCTCGCTCACCATCCCGAAATCCGCAGATTCTCCTCTAACCCGTGCACCTTGTGACGCCGTGTGCAGCATTCTACGCGCGGTGGTGGCGTTTACACCACGCCGAGACCGTGAACGCCTCGGCAACTTACAGAATCCGAACCCGCGGTCTCCCTCCCTCCCCCGCTCCCTCCACCCCTCCTCCTATTCCTCTTTCTCCAATTACTCCTCCTCCTCCACCCTCCATCTCCTCCTCCACCTCCTGTTCCTCCTCCTCCACGTCTATCTCCTGCCCCTCTTCTCTAATCCCCCCCCACCTCATCATCCTCCACCTCCTTCCCCAAATCTCCCCCCCCACGTGTGCACAGGTGGCGAACCTCCTGCGCCTATTCCGCATCCCGCAGGTGAGCTACGCGTCGACGAGCGCCACGCTGAGCGACCGCTCGCGCTACGACCTCTTCGCGCGCACCGTGCCGCCCGACTCGCACCAGGCGCGCGCCATCGCCGACCTCCTGCTCCACTTCGGCTGGACCTACGTCTCCACCGTGGCGTCGGAGGGCGACTACGGCGAGGCGGCCCTCGCGGCCTTCGAGCGCGAGGCCCGCGCGCGCAACATCTGCGTGGCCGCCTCCGCCACGGCGGGCCGCGGCGGCGCTGGCGGGGCCCCCGCGTCCTACGAGGCGGCGGTGCGCGGCCTGGCGCGCGGAGCCGGCGCGGCCCGCGTGGCCGTCCTCTTCGTGCGCGCCGAGGACGCCCGGGGCCTCCTGGCGGCCGCCCAGCGGCTCAACGTCTCCTTCCAGTGGGTGGCGAGCGACGGGTGGGGCGCCCTGGACGAGGTGGTGCGGGGCCGGGAGCGGGCGGCCGACGGCGCCATCACCGTCGAGCTGTCGTCGTGGCCCGTCCAGGAGTTCGACCGCTACTTCCAGAGCCTCACGCCGGCCAACAACCGCAGGAACCCGTGGTTCCGCGAGTTCTGGGAGCGGCGGTTCCACTGCACGTTGCCTGACACGCGGGCCCAAGCCGCGGCCGCCGCCGCCGCCGGCACCGCCGGCGGCGGTGGCGGCGGCGGTGGTGGTGGTGGCACAGCGAGTGGTGGTGGCGGTGCCACTGCTCCCACCAAGATGTGCGGCCGGAAGTCGCTGCTGAAGCAGACGAAGCACGAGCAGGAGCCCAAGGTGATGTTCGTGATCAACGCGGTGTACGCGATGGCGCACGCGCTGCACAACATGCAGAGGGTGCTGTGTCCCAACACCACCAGGCTGTGCAACGCCATGAAGGCCATCGACGGGGGCCGCCTCTTCAACGACTTCGTGCTCAACATCAGCTTCGACAGTGAGCGAGCGAGCGAATGAACGAACGAGCGAGCGAGCAAAAACACGAGTGAGCTGACGAGAGACCAAAGGAGCGAGGGAAGGAGCGAGCGAATGAACGAGTGAGCGAACCAGTGAACAAACGAAGGAAGGAGCGAGCGAATGAACGAGATAACAAGCGGGCGAATGAGCGTGAAAAAGCGAGTGAGTGAACGAGTGAGCTAGCGAATGAAGGAGCGAGTGAATAAACAAGTGAATGAGTGAGCGAACGAAGGAGCGAGTGAACAAATGAACGAGTGAACGAATGAGTGAACTAGGGAACGAACGAGTGACACAACGAGCGAGCGGGCGAGCGAATGAATGAGCGGGCGAGAGGAATGTTGGTGACTTTAGGAACTTTCCAAAGTGGAGAAGAGGTCATGACATCTAATTTATTTTAAACAGTGCCCTGTGCTAATGAATAAAACATCATATTCGCCGTGGTAAATATCAAAAAAAATATTATTTCGGGTTGCGGAGGTGGGGGGGGGGTTGGCATTCGCCCCAATGTGTGCGAACATCACTGTCAGGATTTCACTTCGTCCAGTTCTTGTTTTGACATTTACTTTAAGTTGCTGAAAACTTCACGCCTCCGATGTCTCATCTCGACTGCTGCCAAGTCGCGAGGCGTCGGGGCATCTCCGGCGTGTGTGACATCTCCATCCTCGATTGACAATTGACAATACGAAAAATCCATTCAAATCTACATCCTCGTCATCCCTCTTTCTCCCCGTGTTTCCCCTTCTTCCTCCGCCCTCCTCCTCATCCCGTCTCACCCTCAACCCTCTAACTCCCCTGTCTCCTCTTCCCTCATCATCCCTCTTCCTCACCCCTCCTCTCCTCATCCCTCATCTTTCGCCCTCCTCCCCCTCCTCTTCCTCCCCTCTCATCTTCATCCCTCCTCCTCCTCCCCCCTCCTCCCTCCTCTTCATCCCCCCCCCCTCCTCCTTCCTCCGCTCCCCTCTCTCTCCTTATGCCTCACTCTACCCCCTCCCCTTCTTCTCTTCTCCTCCCTCTTTCTCCTCCTCCTCCCTCCTCCTCCTCTCACTCCCCCTATTCGTTCTCCCCCCCACCCCCGTCTCCTTCCCTGTCTCATCTTCCCCCCATGGTCCCCTTGACTCCCCCTGCCCGGTCGTGGCGGCGCCGCCACCGCCAATAAAGTCACTCGGCGCTTCGCACGTCATTCACTTGCGCCTCTGACGCTGAGCTGGAGCCGCTCTGTCGACGCTGCGGCCAGAACCTGCTGGCTGGGCACTCTTCCACCTTTTCACTCGATTCGTATTAAAAACATTTTTTTATCAGGTAAGGCCCCACTGAGCTGCTATGTAGGTCTATTTTAGACGCCCTTACCTGGCTATCACAATTGATAGCTCAACGCAAGTGGCATATCGTCACGTGTGAATGTATATCAGCAGCGCAATGCACTGAACGCGTGATGTTGATGCTACACGACCACAGGGAGAGAGACACGCAAACTCCAAATATAACAGGCATCGTCAGGGTTGGGATCGAACCCAGGATCTCCTGTATACCAGGCGAGGTAGTCAACATCTCCTAGCCACCACTACATTGAATGCTGCAGCAAAAACGTACGAACGGCGGTGATGACATCCGTTGCTCGGCGTTCAGCCACAGTTTCTATCCGCTGCTGAACCAAAGACTTCCCATCGTCGCGTCCCGATTTCTAAGATTTGAAAATGCGCCCGATCGTTTCCGCACTCACCACACCACCACCCCACCCCCGTGTCGATGACATCTTTGTTCCCGAGAAGTGGCAGGCAGTCCTCTCCCACTCTCTCTCCCATCTCCCCGCGGAGTTCCTTCTCCCCCCCCCCCGCCCGTACCTCTCCTGCCGGTCACGAGAGAAAATCTCCGAGTAAATTAGCCCGGCGCCCGCCCCGCGGTAGCAGCAGCAGCAGACACCCCCAGCCATCCTCCCCGCTTGCCGCCCACCGGGACTCGGTAATTGGCAACATTTCATTAAAGTCCTCACTCCCTCACTCCCTCCTCCCCTATGGGAGCGCGCAAAGCAACAACAAACGGCGCGTGCACGCACACCGCCGCCGTCTTGTTGTTGTTGTTCCAGGCGCGTGGCGGTGGCGATGGTGGTGGCGGCGGCGGCTCGACCGTGGTCTTGAGACGGCTTCCCGATAATGAGGCAGGCGCGTTGATTCTCTCCCCTCGCCGCAAGGTTTAGAGGGAAGGGAGTACCCGCCCCCCCCCCCCCCCGAAATAAAGAATAATCCATCGGCCACCTGTCAGAGCCCCCCCCCCTTCCCCTCGACGTCCGCGTAAGAATTAGTAAAGTCCGGCGTTAATGATCACTCCTGCCGCAGCACCGTCTGAAGTTTATTTTCTTACTGGCAGCGGGTGAGCGCTAATTAGCGGCGCTGGCGGACTTTACCTGGGGGGTGGAGAGGGTAGAGGGGGGGGGCACCTCGATCCCAGACCATCGGAGTCACCGGAGAGCTACCCCACCACACTCGGCTGAGTATTAAACGTCTAACGCATGCTTTCGTTTTCTTCTCGGTGCGGGGATGCACATCTATTTCCCCTCCTCGCTCGATAACTCGCTCGCTCGCTCGAAACTCCAACGCAAGCGTACAAGTGGCCCTGTAGCGCTCACGGGTCAGAGGTCAGATCGCTGATCCGGCACCGCTGAGGTCCGAGGTTCCAGTCCGTGTTTTGGCCGCCCACTGCGGTTGAACCGGCGTCTCGAGTTTAGTTGCGTTGATGGTCTCAGCGTGAGAACCGCTACTACAACAATTTTTATTTTATTTTATCAGCTGTAAGACCCCATGAGCTGCCATGCAGCTCTATTTCAGAAGGACCCAGCTATCACAAATGATAGCTCAACGAAGTGGCTTTTCATCACGTGGACATTTACAGCAGCCAAATGAGTTCTGATATCAACTCGCCACTGATGTTAGCCGTGGCTGGGAATTATGCCCAACCAGATGGGTTTGTAGCACAGTGCACGAACCACTGTGCTACCACTCGCCACTGATCACTGCACCCCCCACCGCTGAGCCCTGGGTTCAAATCCGGGTTTCAGCCGCTCGCTCTGATTAAACCGGCTTCTCAACCCAGTCACCAGCGACTGACGTAGACCCATAGACTCACATAGATACCCATAGACTAACATGCAGACCCATAAAATCACACAGAAACCCATAGACTCACATCGAGACCCATAGACTAAGATGCAGCTCCATAGACTCACATAGAGAGCCACAGAATCACACAGAAACCCATAAACTCACATGGAGACCCATAGACTCACATGCAGCCCCATAGACTCACATAGAGACCCGTAGAATCACACAGAAACCCAAATACTCGCATAGGCTGAGTGTTCATTAAGCAGGGTTCTCAACTCGAGCGATATGGGGCTCTCAAAATCTGTCACCAATGACTGTACACGAAATAACCCAACCGTATATGAACATGGCTCTGCACTTCTCTTGGCTAAATTTCAGCTCTGGGAATTAAAATATCAGTTTCATTGTTATGCGGCGTTCTGTGTGGAACAGAGTGTCTGCTTCCGTGTGCCGTTCTATAGAGAGCAGAGTGCCACTTGAAGAAGAGCGGATCTCAGTGGTAGATCTGTCATGTCTCCTTCCACGGGCCTGTTCTGTAGAGACCAGAGTGTCACTTGAAGAAGAGTGGATCTCAGTCGTAGATCTGTCATGTCTACTTCCATGGGCCTGTTTTGTAGAGACCAGAGTGTCACTTGAAGAAGAGCGGATCTCAGTGGTAGATCTGTTACGTCTGCTTCTGAGGGCCGTTCTGGGTAGACCAGTGTCACTTGAAGAAGAACGCACCTCAGTCGTAGATCTGTCATGTCTACTTCGACGGGCCTGATCTGTAGAGACCAGAGAGTCACTTGATGAAGAGCGGATCTCAGTGGTAGATGTGTTATGTTTGCTTCCAGGGGCCATTCTGACCACCGCTCCACGAGGTTTCCGAGCGGCCTCTCGATCTCGTGACAACGCCCAACTGCTGTCCCTCCGCTCCCCTACACCCTCCCCCCCATCCCCCTGCCGCAGCTCCGTACCGCTCCCCCGGCTCCGGCAAGGTGCGCCTGGACGCGCGCGGCGAGGGCGTGGTGCGCTACAACATCTACGCGTTCCAGCGCGACCCGCCGCGGCGCCACCACCACCGCTACGTGCGCGTGGGCCACTGGGACGAGGAGGCCCTGCGCGTGAACGCCACCCTCGTGGCCTGGGCCCGCCACGGCGGCGCGCCGCCCGCGTCGCGCTGCAGCGAGCCATGCGGCCCCGGCGAGGCCCGGAGCGCTCGGCCGCCCGGCGACGCCTGCTGCTGGTCGTGCGCGCCTTGCCGGCCCCACGAGTACCTCGCCGACGAGGCCACGTGCCGGGACTGCGGGCCGGGCCGCTGGCCCTCGGCCGACCTCTCTGGGTGCCGGGACCTCCCCGCCGAGCACCTGGCGTGGGGCGACGCGCCGGCCGCCGCGTCCGTCTGCTTCGCCGTGCTCGGCGTCGTCGGCACGGCGCTGGCGGGCGCGGCGCTGGCGCGGCACGGCCGCTCGCCGGCGGCGCGGGCGTCCGACCGCGCGCTGTGCGGCGTGCTGCTGCTCGGCGTGGCCGCGTGCTACGGCACGACGTTCGCGTTCGTGGCGCGCCCGTCGGCTGCCGCGTGCACCGCGCGCCGCCTGGGCCTCGGCACGTCGCTGGCGGCGTGCTACGCGCCGCTGCTCGCCAAGACGATCCGAGCGGCGCGCGGCGTCGACAGCGGAGGAGGAGGGGTGGGGGCGCGCCGCCTCTGCTTCATCAGTCCCGCGTCGCGGCTGCTCCTCTGCCTGGCGCTCGTCGCGGGCCAGCTGGCGTCGGCCTGCGTGTGGCTCGTGGTGGAGCGGCCCGGCGTGGTGCGCGACGCCTCGCCCGAGCGCAGGGAGCGCGTGGTGCTGCGCTGCAACGTGCGCGACTCCAGCATGCTGGCGTCGCTCGCGTACGACGTGCTGCTCGTCGTGCTGTGCACGCTGTACGCCTACAGGGCGCGCAGGTGCCCCGAGAACTTCGGCGAGGCCAAGTACGTCGCCCTCACCATGTACACCACGTGCGTCGTCTGGCTCGCCTTCCTGCCCATCTTCTACGCCACCGCCAGCGACTACAGGGTAAGCGCGCCTCTCGGTCGGTAACCCGCTCACCGGCTTGCCCGATCGCTCTCGTAGAGAGAGAGGGACAGAGGGGGAGGGGAGGGCGACTCGGAGGGGTCTGGAGAAAGAACCTCAGACGAGGAGCTGGAAGGCAGCAGCAGCATCCGGCACTACCAACAAGTGCCCAAGCTCTGCGGTCCTCTATATACAAAAATAGTATCGTCCAATCAATTAAGGTTTATACGTGGGCGAGAAAACCGGAGCATCCGGAATAAATACACGCGTGTGAGGGGGCAACGCTCTATCCTGTACACATGGAGCAGCATTTTGTTGTGTCACCTTCCCGCTGGCGAGCCAGGAAATAGCACCGCCTCGACAGGTAAGAAAGATGGACCCGATGGAGATGAGTCCACACTTTGCTGTGCCGCCTTCTTCCGGCGAGCCAGGGTACAGCTCCCCCTCGACACTCACGGGCAGAATGGAGTTTCACAGCCCATCTGTGGCGCGATCCACCAACCCTCGCTGCTGTCTCCACGACGCACAGAGGCAGCAGTCACGTGCAGCAGCAGCAGCGTGCAGCAGCAGCGTAGTCACCACTTGTCACAGAGCACGGTTACGTTTCACTTGAGAGCTCAAGAAACACGAGAGGATGAGTCTCATTTGCACCACCGTGATCACCAACCACCACCGTGATCACCATCACCACCACCGTGATCAGCACCACCGTGATCACCACCACCATCGTGATCACCACCACCGTGATCACCACCACCGTGATCACCACCACCACCGTGATCACCACCACCACCACCGTGATCACCACCACCACCACCGTGATCACCACCACCGTGATCACCACCACCACCGTGATCACCACCACCGTGATCACCACCACCGTGATCACCACCATCGTGATCACCACCACCGTGATCACCACCACCGTGATCACCACCACCGTGATCACCACCACCGTGATCACCACCACCATCGTGATCACCACCACCGTGATCACCACCACCGTGATCACCACCACCGTGATCACCACCACCGTGATCACCACCATCACCATCGTGATCACCACCACCATGATCACCACCATCACCATCGTGATCACCACCACCGTGATCACCACCATCGTGATCACCACCACCGTGATCACCACCACCGTGATCACCACCACCGTGATCACCACCACCGTGATCACCACCACCATCGTGATCACCACCACCATGATCACCACCACCGTGATCACCACCACCGTGATCACCACCACCACCGTGATCACCACCACCATGATCACCACCATCGTGATCACCACCACCACCGTGATCACCACCACCACCGTGATCACCACCACCGTGATCACCACCACCGTGATCATCACCACCATCGTGATCACCACCATCGTGATCACCACCATCGTGATCACCACCACCATGATCACCACCACCGTGATCACCACCACCATGATCACCACCACCGTGATCACCACCACCATCGTGATCACCACCACCGTGATCACCACCACCGTGATCACCACCACCGTGATCACCACCACCGTGATCACCACCACCGTGATCACCACCACCATGATCACCACCATCACCATCGTGATCACCACCACCATGATCACCACCATCACCATCGTGATCACCACCACCATGATCACCACCATCGTGATCACCACCACCGTGATCACCACCACCGTGATCACCACCACCGTGATCACCACCACCGTGATCACCACCACCATGATCACCACCACCGTGATCACCACCACCGTGATCACCACCACCACCGTGATCACCACCACCATGATCACCACCATCGTGATCACCACCACCACCGTGATCACCACCACCACCGTGATCACCACCACCGTGATCACCACCACCGTGATCATCACCACCATCGTGATCACCACCATCGTGATCACCACCACCATGATCACCACCACCGTGATCACCACCACCGTGATCACCACCACCGTGATCACCACCATCACCACCGTGATCACCACCACCACCGTGATCACCACCATCGTGATCATCACCATCGTGATCACCACCACCACCACCGTGATCACCACCACCGTGACCACCACCATCACCATTGTGATCACCACCACCACCATGATCACCACCACCACCATGATCACCACCACCACCATACCTCGCCTGCTATACAGGAGGTCGTGGGTTCGATCCAAACCTTACGCCTGCTGCTGCTGTATATTTGGAGTTTGCGCGTCTCTCTCCCCGTGGATTTTTCTCTGGTTCCTCCGGTTTTTTCCCCTCCACATTTAGAATCAACGTCGCGCGTTTAAGAGTATTTGGCTCCTACCATGAACGTCCACGTGATGACGATGATGATAATAAGCCCACTCTGTTGACCCATCATTTGCGATGGCCACGTCAGGGCTTCTGCAAAACGAGCGACGTAGCAGCTCAGTCGGTGTGTGGGGCGGGGGGGACCTTACCTCGTGAGATTAAACACGAAGACGCCGGGTGTCTGTCGGCCCTCCGCAGGTGCAGACCGCCTCAATGTGCATGTTTGTGAGCCTCAGTGGCTCCGTGGTCCTCTGCTGCCTCTTCGCGCCCAAGCTTTACGTCCTGCTGCGGGAGGAGCAGCGGCTGCGACGGGAACAGCAACAACAGCAGCGGGAGCAGCAGGAGCAGCAGCAGCAGCGGGAGCAGCAGCAGCAGCGGGAGCAGCAGCAGCAGGAGCAGCAGCAGCAGGCGAAGCGAGGCGTGTCGATCCGCGTCGGAGTCGGCGGCTCCGTGACGTCGCAGCAGAGTGCGGGTGAGCACGGCGGCGATGGTGACGGTGGTGGTTGTGGTGATGGTGGCGGTGGTGATGGTGGTTGTGGTGATGGTGGCGGTGGTGACGGTGGTGGTCGTGGTTGTGGTGATCGTGGTGGTGACGGTGGTGGTGGTGGCGATGGTTGTGGTGATGGTGGCGGCGGTGACGGTGGTGATGGTGGTTGTGGTGATGGTGGTGGTGGCGGTGGTGATGGTGGTTGTGGTGATGGTGGCGGTGGTGGCGGTGGTGATGGTGGTTGTGGTGATGGTGGTGGTGGCAGTGGTGATGGTGGTTGTGGTGATGGTGGCGGTGGTGGCGGTGGTGATGGTGGTTGTGGTGATGGTGGTGGTGGCGGTGGTGGCGGTGGTGATGGTGGTTGTGGTGATGGTGGCGGTGGTGGCGGTGGTTGTGGTGATGGTGGCGGTGGTGATGTGGTTGTGGTGATGGTGGTGGTGGCGGTGGTGATGGTGGTTGTGGTGATGGTGGCGGTGGTGGCGGTGGTGATGGTGGTTGTGGTGATGGTGGTGGTGGCGGTGGTGATGGTGGTTGTGGTGATGGTGGCGGTGGTGGCGGTGGTGATGGTGGTTGTGGTGATGGTGGTTGTGGTGATGGTGATGGTGGTTGTGGTGATGGTGGTTGTGGTGATGGTGGTGGTGGCGGTGGTGATGGTGGTTGTGGTGATGGTGGCGGTGGTGGCGGTGGTGATGGTGGTTGTGGTGGTGGTGGCGGTGGTGATGGTGGTTGTGGTGATGGTGGCGGTGGTGGCGGTGGTGATGGTGGTTGTGGTGATGGTGGCGGTGGTGATGGTGGTTGTGGTGATGGTGGCGGTGGTGGCGGTGGTGATGGTGGTTGTGGTGATGGTGGTGGTGGCGGTGGTGATGGTGGTTGTGGTGATGGTGGCGGTGGTGGCGGTGGTGATGGTGGTTGTGGTGATGGTGGCGGTGGTGGCGGTGGTAATGGTGGTTGTGGTGATGGTGGCGGTGGTGGCGGTGGTGATGGTGGTTGTGGTGATGGTGGCGGTGGTGGCGGTGGTGATGGTGGTTGTGGTGATGGTGGCGGTGGTGGTGATGGTGGTTGTGGTGATGGTGGTGGTGGCGGTGGTGATGGTGGCTGTGGTGATCGTGGTGGTGGCGTTGGTGATGGTGGTTGTGGTGATGGTGGCGGTGGTGACGGTGGTGGTCGTGGTTGTGGTGATCGTGGTGGTGATGGTGGTGGTGGTGGCGGTGGTTGTGGTGATGGTGGCGGCGGTGACGGTGGTGGCCGTGGGTGTGGTGATCGTGGTGGTGATGATGGTGGTAGCGGTGGAGGTGGTTGTGATTACGGTGGTGGTGGCGGCGGTGGCGGTGGTGGTGACGGTGGTGGCGGTGGTTGTGGTGATCGTGGTGGTAGTGACCTTGGTGGCGGTGGTTGTGGTGATCGTGGTGGTGGTGGTTGTGGTGATGGTGAAAGTGGTGGCGGTGGAGGTGTTTGTGATGACGGTGGCGGTGTTGGTGGCGGTGGTTGTGGGGAGCGGTGGTGTAGCGGTTAGCGCTACGCTGCGCTACGAACCCGGCGAAGCGGGTTCGATTACCCGCTCACGGCCAACACCGGTGACGATTATCTGCACCGGTTCTGGGCCTCCTCTAGGTTGACTCAGCCTCAAATGAGTACCTGGTGCAATGTGTAAACATCGCCACTGGGGAGACAAAGGCGGTCGGGCGTGGTGCTGGCCACCCAACCCCTCGTGTGCCGTGCCGGCCTTCATAGGTGCTGCTCGCTAACAGCACTTGCCCCTCCAGTCTGTTAAGGCTACGCGGGGGTTCTTTGTTTAACGGTAGCGGTGATGAGGAGGAGGTGGCAGTGGTTGTGCCGCTGCCACTGCCGCCACCACCATCACAGCCACCCCAACAACCACCTCGTCAAAACCACCTCGTCAAAACCACCTCGTCAAAACCACCTCGTCAAAACCACCTCGTCAAAACCACCTCGTCAAAACCACCTCGCTAAAACCCAGAGCCGCGACACGATCATCGCCACGACCTCGCCGCTGTCATCTTCAGCATCATCGTCACTGTGATTGTCAGGAGCGGGGGAGACGAGGGGAGGGGGAGACGAGGGGAGGGGGGAGACGAGGGGAGGGGGAGACGAGGGGAGGGGGAGGGGAGGGGAGGGGGAGACGAGGGGAGGGGGGAGACGAGGGGAGGGGGAGACGAGGGGAGGGGGAGACGAGGGGAGGGGGAGACGAGGGGGAGACGCCATCTAGGTTGGGGGGGGGTTGCGACGAGGAGCAAAGTGAGGTGACAGGAGATCCGACTCCCAGACAGGATGGGAGGGTGGCGGTGGCGGTGGTGTTGGTGGTGATGATGAGGGGTGGGTTGGGGTGGGGTGGCGCGCGACCCTGGCCTTCTATAACGAGGTGGGGGTGTGTGGGGGGTAGATGATGGCCTGTCAGCCTCCTGATGACGCCCTCGCGCGAGGAGTCCATTACCGGTAATTACCGTGGGAATGCTGCGATCGTCGTCGTTCCGCTGACACGCGCCGCGATCCTGGGGGGGGATGGGGGGGGGCTTAAGTGGGGGGGGGCGATCCCTGCAATGATCATTTCGTACCTCCGATTAGCACGGTTGGCTACGTACGGTGTGCAAGAAATTCAACATACATACACACTACCCATCGATGCAACACTGCCAATAGACTCAACATTGCCCATAGACGCAACACTGTCCATTGACTCAACACTGCCCATTGACTCAAAACTGCCCATAGACGCAACACTGCCCATTGACTCAACACTGCCATATAGGCAACACTGCCCATTGACTCAACACTGCCCATAGACTCAACACTGCCATATACGCAATGCTGCCCGTAGACTCAACACTGCCCATATACGCAACACTGTCCATTGACTCAACACTGCCCATAGACTCAACACTGCCCCATAGACTCAACACCTCCCATAGACTCAACACTGCCCATAGACTCAACACTGCCCCATAGACTCAACACCTCCCATAGACTCAACACTGCCCATAGACTCAACACTGCCCATAGACTCAACACTGCCCATGAAGTTCCGTCTGTCACCTATTCATGCTCTCACCGGTTCAGTCTCTCACCTGTCTAGACACTCACCAATTCAGTCTCTTATATGTTCAGGCTGGCTAACGAGGGGACTTTGAGCTCAGGATCCGCGCCTCTGAGTTCTCGATGGAACATTGAACTTCGGGTCCGATGTACAAGACATACACTCTCGCTGTCAATCGTGTTTATTATTACCACCGATATTATCATCATCATCAAAATCATCACCGCAATGAATTGAACGGGGAAGTCCCCCGCTTAATGTGCAGTTGCACCGCCTGCGCACTCGACAGATAACCCACTGCAACAATCATCGCCCCAATCGTCGCCACCACCGCCGCCACCGCCACCGTCTGTTAACCGCACTCGTCACTGGTCACACGCACCTCAAGGGGGCCCGCTCCGCTTCACGATCCCTGCAGCGTCATCCGCCGGGGCGGGAAGCCGTCGTGCACCCGGCGTTGCGTCGCTCACTCGGGTTGATCAACAACGTTGGGGGGGGGGGCGGCCGTCTCGCCCAGCCACACCACCACCACCACCCTGGTGCGGCAGGCGCCGGGCAGGAGCCGCCTCGCTCCCCAGGGGAGCCCACAGACTCGGCGAGGCTTTCCTCGGGGAACAATCTCAGCATCCATAATCTCGGGGGGTTTTGTTTTGGGTTACATCTCGTGAATATAAATGTGTCGTTAAACACGCCACCACCCGTATCTCGGCCTCGCTGTGTGCTGCGTTGCACCGCTTGTCGAGTAGACAACCATGTGTTCAATAAACCCTCGAAGCCAGGATGACCGTCCAACTCCGATCGTCATTTATTGATTGTAACAGGTAAAACTGGTGAGAAAACACAGATACAGCATCTGTTATAATTCGGAAACACCCACACAATGAACACCACAGCATCAGAACATTGTCTCAGATAGCAATAGATCCTGGAAGGACCAGGCCCCCACATTACCCCTGAACAACTAGACAAAGGCACAAGCTGGTGCGTTGCATACAGGCTATTAGTGTATTCATCCCACTGCACCCCAAATGTACAACATTACACTTAACACTAAACTGTGGATGAGATACTTCGTCATCACTCTCAGGATCGCAACATAGGCACAAGTCTGACTCGACCTACTAAATCACAAGTAACATCCACAATAAGGAAAGTCACAGGCTTCGTTACTAACTAGGCCTCGTATTTACTACAACAACTTAACGGCACCATAAAGGCATTTACATTGCTATAACGTGGTTCCAACATTACAACAGCATTTCCAATATTATAAGAATATAAACAACTTACAGATAATGCTTCTTAAGCTCCCACAATGGACAAGTGCGGCTGTGGTCTCACTGAGATGCGATGCGTGCCGCCATCTTGACTTATCTGTGTAATGGCTGACGCCCGTGTGGTACAGTGGAAATCTGACATCGTCACTTCCTGGTCACGTGACCAACATTAGCATAAAAAAACAGGAACTTCCTGTGACCGTACGCTCCATAACTGCCGTGAGGCAAGACAACCCGACACAGCCAACTAATAATATTTTTCACGTAAATAAAACATGCCAATTAGTTACTACTTCAGCAGGAAACGGTTGTGTGTTGCAGAGCAAACCCACAGCATTTACAATCTGAGTACGACATTTCGCCAGTAATTACAACCAACATCATCAAGGGGACAGCCAGATTTGTGGGGAAATCCTCCTGTTTAGTTCCAGTAAATAGAGGGATAGATGTGATGATAGATGTGATTACTAACTGGCTGTGTCGGGTGTGGTGGGTTTCACGACACATTTTAATT